CCGCATCTTCTCGGATGTTGAGTAAAATCCATGTATACTGCTCATTGTTGGCATCCGTCTCAGGCGCATAGTCATTGATAAAGGCCACGCCTTGGAGTAAAGTGTCAGTGTCTGGGGACCATGTCGATGAAGAGCTTGCACTATTCTTCGCTTGTGCCTCCCATCTCGTCACTGTGCCCCAGTGCACATGATGTCCAGGCAGGCGGTCCAATAAGGATTGGAAAGCCTTCTTGACAGCCCACGGACCTGGACGAGAGAAAGGAATGTAGGCAGATCCTGCAGGAATTTTCGTGGCGTCCCGAATCGCCATCTTGTCTTGGAAAGTCACAAGCTTGATTACATCCAATTTCCCGTGGCCTTTCTCCATGGCAATACACCCAACCTTTGAGTGAGCTGGTAAGGCATGAGCAAACTGCAATGCAGCTGGTAGACTCTCGATCCTTTGCTCCTGGCAGACCGCTGCAACATTTTCGGCAGAACCACAATTCTCCACATCCTGCTGCACATCCACTAACATCATTGTAGCTGCTCTGAGACCATTGAGTGGACGACAGCAAGAGAGGAAGTCAGATATGCTCATGGGGTTCTCGATGCTGGCACTTGTTTTGGATTCACAGCGCGGGGCCGCCAAACTTTCAAAGCGCCACTGCTTCCCACCGTAGACCCGCATCGCTTCATCGATGATCTCAGTCGCCATGGTGAGGACACAGAGAGACTAGACCCAGCGAGGCGCACAGAGGGGGCACGATACTATGAGCGTAGAAGCGTTGCAGAAGAGATGGATATGCAGAAGCAATGGGAACGAAGCAGACGAGTGCTGGCAGACACAGTCAACTAAGTATAAACTCAAGTCTGGAATCAAGTCTGAAACCAAGTCTGAAACCAAGTCTAAACTTATTAAGTTTGCTACACTTCGAACTTATCCTCCCACCTTCCCCTTCCCTGTTTCAAAGGTTACATGGCAATGTGTCTTGCATCGTGCTCCGTGTCTTCGCGAATGCGCAATCTTTTTCATCCGCCGCCGATGTCTCTGGCTCAGCCGCTCTCGCAGGCTCGAAGCAGACCCCTCTATCCTGTATGGTTCTGCTGCGATGCTAAAATGGCCTGCAACTCCAGCACTTTCTGCTGTGTTTTCTCCAACCCGTCCGCCGCTTCAAGATACGTCCCCAACAAATCATCAAAGTCATCACACAAGCTGCACCTCTGGATTTTCAGTGGACGTTCCAGAGTCTGCCCGTTGTCCTGCTCTCCTGCGCTGCCGGCACCCAGCACACCCTCATTCCAAGATGCCACACTTGCGCTCCCATTGGATCCTGCAACCTCCTCTGGACTGTCCACGACGCCACCTACAGGCGAGGGGGGGGGCAATGTTGAGGGCCGGGTTGGGCACGTACTCGTACTCAGTATCAACTTCAGGTGCAACGCCTAAAGACGGGTTCGGTACTCCTTGCCATTGCTCTTCTTCTGATGCCGACGAGGAGTCAGAGTCAGAGGAAGAGTCAGACGTGGACGACGTCAACGAGGATGAAGTACCATTCGTCAGCTGCAAGACCTGAGAGAGCGAGAAATGACAGAAGGCATATGATCATACCGAACATGTCTTCGTAACTGTATAATCACGCGCGGAGAACCAAAGTACGTAAGGCGACTTCGGCCCCGAGAAAATAACGAGTGTTAGTGTACTCAAGACATGGAACACATGTTCTGAAGTCCAATCAGCCGAGGCGCAGGTTGGGAGGCTGTGGCAGTCTCCTTTTTGGGACGGATCACTTTGGGGAGAGCCAGGGCATGTAGGAGCTTTCGTGAGGCGTCAGGACTCCAGCTGCCCAGCAATCCGACAGGGGCCAGTCGGAGTCCTTTCTGAATGTTGCAGACCATTGCCGCTAGGTGCTTTCGCGCAAGTGGTTGTCTACTTTCATGTACTGCATGGTCCCCGGCGAGGACTTGATTCAGCAGCATTTGTAGGTTGTCTGCAGGTCCCCCACCAGGTCCCCCAGGAGCCGCCGCGCCATCCTGTGCCACCGACAAGACAACAACGGCCTGATTGTCGCGCAGAAGCACACTTCCGGCAACGGGGATCGACATGAGGCCGGATGCGATGACACGAGGATACGAGATCTCAACAAGCCAAGAGCGAAGCTCAGACCGAGGCACGCGGACATTGTTTGTCGGAGAGTTTCTGTCTACACATGTGTACACTGATCTCAAGTCTGAACTTAAGTCTGAACTCAAGCCTCAAAGCCTGCCACCGAAGATCCAAGATCCAAGATTCCCAGAAAATTTTTCTTGGATGCAGGCTGGAAATCTTGGATGCACCCAAGATCCAAGATCCAAGATTTCCAGCCTGCATCCAAGAAAAATTTTCCGGGAATCTTGGATCTTGGATCTTGGGTGCATCCAAGATTCTGCAAGTGCATCCAAGAAAAGTTTTCTGGAAATCTTGGATCTTGGATCTTGGGTAGCAGGAATCGAGACTATGACACTCAAGTCTGAAGTCAAGTCTGAACTCAAGTCTGAACTCATGCCTCAAGAAACTCAATATAAAAAGCTTTCTGGAAATCTTGGATCTTGGATCTTGGGTAGCAGGAATCGAGACTATGACACTCAAGTCTGAAGTCAAGTCTGAACTCAAGTCTGAACTCATGTCTCAAGAAACTCAATATAAAAAACTATCAAATTCAACATATGAAAATAAGCAAATTATACTGTAATTTACAGTATCAATCAAGGAAAGGTAGGTACCAGGGGGGGGGGTACCATATATATATATATATATGTATGTATATACATACACATGCGCTCTCTTCTGGTGGTACAACAGTCGCAACGCATGCTAATCTGCTATCTAGTTTGCCCCAAGTCTGCAAAACACGCCGGCATTGGAACACGTTTCCATCAAATCATTCCACGAAATAACCAAATCCCGCATGAGACAGCATCCCGCAGGACACCCAGACTTTGGGGCGGGACAAACAAATTGGCAATCTTTGGATACCAATCATATCTTCACATCTGACCAGACTAGACTTCCTGGCGACACTTGGCAGTTCAAAGTGTCCCAGATGTAGTTTGTCTTCCCATGGGACTTGGGGACATGCCATTGCCATGCTCGGTTAAGTATATTAATTATTAATTTATATATATATATTTATAATATATTAGTTTCATTGAATGTCCAACAAATGCCGATCCAAAGGGCACATCAACTTTGAGAGTCAAACCCGGTCAGACATTTTTAATGCCCAAATATGCCCAGCAATTGGTATCAGTGCAGCAAGGGCGCAAAGTCAGGACAACTTCAAGCGTCGCACGGCGCCTTCGAACCAAACCTTTCTGGTTGCGCAAGCTTCGCGACATTGCAGCCGGAGCAATGAAGACCTGGGGCGCAACCGGTGCAACCCCGGCAGCGAGGGATGGCTGTTCGTTACGGTCGGATAGCATCAGCCGAGGTGCCAAATAGCTGCCAAAGATAGATCCAAGCACAGCTTGGACCACACCAATGTCCTGGAACAACCAGACTTTTGAGTGCTAATTGGTTGTTTTCAATCCATGGGGGGTCACCCTTAGATCATCCACTTTTACTGGTAGTAGGATTTTCAGTTATAAACCAACCAGCTATTGGGGATCCCCTAATTGATGGAACCTCCCAATTCTAACAAATCTTCCAAGAGTGTCTCAATGGAAGTGCCATGTCCATAGCCGCTATAGATGCTAAAGCCATCATAGCCGTCCTTCAAGACAATGGCTGGAGCTGAAGTTGCCTGTGCTGCTGCGTTCATTTTCCCGAATTGTGTCTGTCTGAAAATGGGACACCCCAAAAGCCCATGATTCACCATCATTTCCCACAAGAAGACGTAATCCAACAAACAAGCGCTCTGATGCGTTTTGGGTCTTCGGAGGAGCAACGACAAAGCCATCATTGAACGACCCTATTGCAGAGTGTGTTTTTCAACACCATCTTGCGTCTTGGTTGCCATCAGCAAGCCAGTGGACAGCAAGCGTCGCTGATTCGCATCGAGCGGGTCACGGCCGCGGCTGAGGATGGCTGCAGCCTGCCAGAGGACCAGGGTATACCAGGGGGCTTTTGGGATCCCAGTGAGCGAAAGGAGCCAGGCCAGGCCTCATTCCTAAGAAGTAGGAAGTTCAGCGGAAAGCCAAAGAGAACACTCAGCAATACCCCCATTTTGCCCAGCGCAGCTGCCTCAGGAAATGCGCTGGAGCACCGCAGGGACCACTGTTAAGAAATCTAATCATACAAAGTAGCTACTGATGGGGTATGGAGTCCCGGTTCAATGATTTTGCCATTTCAAGCCATGACTTCTTTTCAATTATAGTTGAAAATAGTTGAAGAAAATGGAGGGATAACAATCTGTTGAATCAAAGCATCCTTTCAATCTGTTCATGCAAGCGTCCAGGTCTGTTCCAGCGTAGTTGGACAGCAAGAGCCCGTTCACGTTCCCTCCGAAAGTGTAGAGTCCTGCCACCATCAGCGCCTCAAGCTGGGATCCACTGGGCATGCCACAACGGGACAAGGCCACATGTCATCGTAAGCCACTTTCCGAAGGACTTAATGCGTCACAGTCTCAGTGAAAAGATGTCAAAAGATGCCAATCCAAACAAACAATTACCCCTAGTACTTCACGGCGCTGTCTAGGTTCAAGGATTAGGACAAGAAAGTGGGTAATCATAAGTAATCATTTTTTTTGGCACGGGCTCCCAAAATGACGGAACGTATGCATTGGGCCAAATCTTGACCAAAGGAGCTGTGCAAACAAATCCGGCAAGAGCAAATGCTCCCAGCACAGCCTCAGACCCAAACGTTGCAAACGTTCCCCAAACATCCTGGATTTGATCGGATTTGTGGCTGGCCCTTCAGTGGATTTTTTCTTACCAAAAGAAAGGATCCTTGATGGATTTTTCTAGTGTTTCCAATGTGTTGTTTCTGACGAAGCTCGACATAAGGTCGAAATAAT